CTAGTCATGTTTTAATAAAGTGGGCTTTAGTTGGTTTTAAAAAAAATGGCTTTAATAAATTGTATCTGTCATTTGTTAAGTTCGTTTCGTAAGTGTAATCAACTAGCCTTAGTTAGGTTATTATTGTTTCCCAACTGTCGAACTATTACCGGGAAGAAATTTATAGCCGAAATAACAAAAGCTTTAAAATGAACTAGAATAGATTATTAAATAGATTGTTGATAAACAGCTGTTGGGCCAAATCTCTTCTGAGTAAATACATTCTTACACTAAGCTTCCCGTACACACAGTGTTTTTATGATCAAAGGGAGGTAACTTATTTATATGTAAATATTTTGATACATTTGCCTCTTTATTATAGAAGGTAAACTAAGATATTAGTTAGTTAATTTATACTTTCATTTATTTATTCATTCCATCTCATTTCGTGCCCTCGATGATGAGTAGAATTTTATTTCTCTCTTAAGTTGTGTTGACATCGGGCACGACTACAGTCACGGTGTGTTGCAGATGATTGGTTTCAAGGAGTTTCACGACTATCTCCAGCTCTCACCTGGTCAGAGGGACTCTGAACTGGGGAAGAAACAGTTTGACAAAGGTATGGCTTCTGAAGGAAGTGCAGGGTAACATTGTGACAAGGGCCCGCCCCCTTCCCAAAAAAATAAGCGTTGAAACTTGTTGATGTAAAAAACAGAAGCTGAAGTATTGGGCACAGATAATGAAGTTTTTGAAGTGTGGGCACATTATGGCACATCACATGAGGATGGCCTTCCACAAACTTTTGAATCTCATACAGAACTAACTGCAAATAATTTTAATCCAGTTTGAGGAGTATGGCACAATTTTGATTCAGTAAGATGGATTTATAGAAAATAGATTTGCCTCTATTTGAAACCAATATTACTGATTTATTTTTAATAGGTGTGTTTGAACTGAAAGTTGCTACTAGACGCTATGCGAGGAATCAAATAAAATGGATCAAAAATAGATTTTGTGCACGTAAGTGATTTGATAGAACTATTGAAATTGAACAAATAACATAAAATATTTGTTAGTTATATTTTGTGTCCAAGAATGGAGTATGATTTAAATTATTTTATTAAATTTCGCAATTTGAAATTTTTTTAAAAATTAAGTTTAAGTGAGTTTGTAAAATAAAATGTTTAAATTAAAGAGAAATTTAACCGGAGGGTCAACATGCAAGTTTGATTTTGGATATTAATTATAAATCCGCTATCTATCACTACCAAGTATGTGGGTCTGTATTTAATGACACTTAAAAGATATATTAAAAAGTTGCTGTTTGAATAATTGGCAGGCCCTGGTCCAGATGTCCCCCCTGTATATTGTGTTGACTCCACTGATCTGACACAATTCGATCTCGCCGTAAAGGAGGCTATCGATGTGGTCAAGGCCTACATCAGGGTTAGTGTTTAATTACAGTTCCTTCCCTTTGCAGTTCATTTATACAAGGGAGTTAAATATGAATGTTTTACCACTAACTATATTTATACGCAGTTGCTGCCCTTGACTATTATGGAGAATTAAAAACTCATCATTTTTAGATCTGATTAACATTTGTTCATAATTTATGACTTTCTTATGGAGGATTAACATTGCACATATTAAGATTTACTTCATATACCACAAGTAAAATAGTATATTTTCACATCATATAATAGAATTCAAATGTTCCTTCCTGTTTTGTGTTTTATCAGGGTGAAGACCCAAACAAGGAGCCTGAAAGATTTAGCCGTGAAGTGGACTCTAGGCTTGTTAGGAACATTTGTGATATTTGCGGAGGTCAAGTGTTCATACGCTCACATGAATGGATTGGTAAATATGTATATTTTCTATTTAACAATGTTTTATGTCCACTGATGTTGGTAAGTCATGAACCCTGAGAAAGTATGTTTAAGTAAGTGTTTGCTATCACAAATGGTTTTCAAACTTTTTACACTGGTAAAAATAGGTGAAACAACATGTAGAAATAGAAGTATGAATTGAACTGTACATGCAGAACCTGTGCTAGGAGGGTGTTGGGAAAGGGAATTTAGACAGTCCCTTTGATGTTATCTACTCTGGCCGATAAGATATTAAGACACATCAAAGTCATACTGGGTTTTACAGGTCATAATGGGACATGCCATACTGGGTCTTACAGGTCATAATGGGACATGTCATACTGGGTCCAAAGGTCATAATGGGACATGTCATACCAGGTAATTGCTGACTCGCTTACTTTTCGTAATGTCTTATTATTTATTTTTTTACGTTAACAGTTGAGTTGCACAGAGCTGAACTTTGCATAGCAGCTCGATGGTTTGATGATAAACTTGTAGTTGTCAAAAACAATCCTGTAAAGCAGAAAGCTGTTGGAGCTATACGCTCACAAAGAGAGAGAGAGAGAGTGTCATTTAAAAATAAGAATCATTTTCATGCAGTAATCAAGCAATTTTACAGGAAAAAAATGGAATGTCCTTGTCATTTCACTGTTAAGTCAAACCAAGATAGATAGCCATCGCCATTAATCATTAAGTAATGGCTTAATACTTTTTGAGAGAGATTGAGAGAAACACAATTTATTTGATTCTCAAACAGAACTAACTAAAAATCAGTTTAATCCAATTTTGAGGACTATTGCAAAATTTTGATTCAGTGAGTGGATTTATAGAAAAAAAATATATAAAAAAATAAACAACTCAAGCAGAAAACATAGACAGAAAACAAGTCCAATATGCAGAGTGGCTTTCAGCCAACAATTCTCTTCTTTGCTCTCTTGGTATGAGTTCTTCATAGTCGAGGGTGGTAACAATCTCTCATTCATTTGACACTGTTATCAGTCAAGTGTAAGACATTTTGGCTAGACGCCTTTTTTTCCATCTTCTACTACAAAAATGTCAAGCCACATGAGGAGGCCGTCAAATGATGAATGAACTCCAGCCACATGAGGAGGCCGTCAAATGTTGAATGAACTCCAGCCACATGAGGAGGCTGTCAAATGTTGAATGAACTCCAGAGACGGTATCCAATTTAATTGAGACAAATTTTCTCCAAAACCTCTAGCTTACAAGCTCCCAAAGAATTTTTTAAAAATCCAAAATGATGATTTTATAAATTTATTTATTTATTTAACGCATTTATTTTATACTTCTTATAATTGTATTCTCCTTTCAAATAAATTCAGCAAACCTGTGATTTTAAATACTCTTTAAAATCAAGTGTTTAATGTCGTCGGCTTAAACAAATATATTTTGGGGTAATAGCTAAAAAAAAGTTCCACTTAACCCTGTTCAAATAAGTCGGAACCATATACATCCTGTGGAACATAACTTCTCAGCACCATTCGGGCTTAAATCCACACTGTGTTTGCTCAAATTATCCAGAGTCATGGTAGGGAGCTGTTGAATAACATATAGAAAGCCAAAAATGTCAAAAGACAGTTGCAGTTGCTGAAAACATGTCTTTAAGGTTCCAAGTGTCTGATCTGCTAACTAGAAAAATATTCTATATGACAACATTATTCTGGTGTCTGTTGTGTCTTGTCTGTAGATCCATTTTCTGTAGATTACCACAGCTGAGACACGCAGGCTTGCTCGAAAGAGCAACATTAGGTCATCGTCTGCAGCAACTATCCCAACCCCGCGGTGCCAGAGATTATTCTGAGCACGGATCGGTCTAGCAAGCCACCTTCAAGCTCACCGTATCCCACCCTCCCCCTAACCGGATGACTCGATGGTCCTAGTCGACTTCGTCGGACGAACAGCTTTCTTTGCAAAACACAGATTCAGTGTTCTGATGCCTTTTAGTTTGTAGTGGCCTATGCTGATGCAAATCCTCCTATATTCGGTGAAGATACAGAATAGACCTTGGTTATATGTAATGGTTAAAACTAGTTGCATAGTAGATGTCTTCATGTTACTGACCTTGGAAGGATACTATGGGAAATGGACAGACTGCTTATTTGATTAGCAGGTACCTCGGAATATTGTGTTGACTAGCAATTACAAACTATGAGCAGGCACAGGCTAGTTACATTAATGAAATATAATAGAACAGGGCCTTAGGCGGTCAACCCATTTGCCACCACCTAGCACCAACCTGGTACAGGTATACCGGTATCCTTAATACTACCATTTAAATATAATCTCTAAAAAAAATTTATATGAGAAATCTAGAAATTAACAAAAGCCAGTTATAGAATGTTTTTAACTGTAATATTGACAGGCAGGAATATTCTGTCGATAATACTGCTGAGAGTCAGTTGAGAGAGTCAGTTGAAAAGCACCGTCACATAACACAAATTTCTTTTTGGAGGCCTTCTATGTTATTTCTGTTCTCCAAGTTCAAAATTTACAATTACGTAGAAAGAGTTTTTAAAAATAGAAACTTCAAGCTCTGTTCCTTTCTCTCCAGTTCACCAAAAAACCAAAAAACATCTCCACAATGTAAAGTTGGTCAAACAAAGAGTCAATCTCTTGGCCTTGCTGGCGGCCAGGGAACAGCAGCTGATGGCAGAACACATCCCTGATGGAGATTTAGTTGATTTCAAGCAGGAGGATGGGGGTTTATAACACAACCCTGTTCAAATACAACTTGTGCATGCAGAAGATATTGGTAGAGAACACTAGTTACAGTACAAAAAGAAATATACTGTACTTCTGAGTTACTTACACCTTATTCAGTAAGTTATATAGATATATAAGAATGTGTTTAATGTGACTTGTCAGAAAGCAAAATGTTGATGTTTTTTCTATGTAAATGAAAATAAACGTATATATTTAGGCATATTTGTATGTGTCATTTTAATTGTACATCTTTGTATGGTATTGCAAAGAAGGGGTTTTAAGGGCCAGCTGTAAATGAAAGATGATTAAAAAGTCAAATGGCAAGATCAAGAAGTTGTATACATATAATAATTTATTTTTCATATTACAATGTTGAAATATAATATACACTAATTTATTTTTCATATTACAATGTTGAAATATACACTAACAGACCTGTTTACCCTCAAACTCTTTAAATCGTACAATATCATCACAAAATTGTTCAATACATTATCTTAATAGTAAAAAATAAACATACAGTATATGTAAAATGTATACACACCTCAAACTCGTCAGAGTAAACAGGTCTGCAATAATAAATATATTTTATTACCAAAAGTAATCCCCATTGTTATATGTATTAATCTACATTCCTGTCTGAAGTAGTTAGACCCTCAATAATTGTTTTTGTCCAAATTCATGGTTTTTAATATTTTTTTTTTTATAGACACATGTCTTTGAGATTCACCCGAAAATTGTATATTTACCCCACCTGCCCCGTCAGTCAGTCTCAGGCTATGATTCAAAGTGCTAGTTTATTCTTTTTAATAGTTTTTGCAGCTATATTTTAAAGAAATATGTGACCACTGTCTGTGTGATTTTACTATTTGGTATAGTAGAGTCCCTTGTATTACCTGTTAGCTTTAGTAGTGGTTAGGAAAATGGAAGGGAAGCCAGAGGAGAAAAGGTTGCTTAATAGAAGGATCATTTCATCATTTCTGGTTCAAATTTATGTAACTATGTGGGACAACATTTAAGGCATTTGTCATAACTATCAATTATTTAATAACTAATGGTTAATAAGTACCGTAATTAAAATTTTATGTGCGATTATTTCCCGGGATTGGTTTTCAAGGGCTGGGAATGGATTAATGACAAAAATTGAGGGTCCACTGTATGGGCAACTTAAAATTTACACACCAAACCTAATAATTTTACACACACAACCTTTTCAACTCAATAATTTACACATTCCTGCATTCCTCGCTCTCATCATTACTTTTTTCAAATAAACTTAAATAAACCAGGTGAAAATTTAGTTAGATCCACTGAAAAATTTCCAAGCATGCCCTATTCATAGTACTTTCTGTTATATAATAATGCAGTTGGGATATTATGTATATATTCAAAATATAAGGTACAAAATATGATGGCTAATATGTTTGGCTGACAGTTTATATCTTTATTTTATCTTATCACTGTGTGCAATAAGCAATATATATCAACTCTATTTTTGGCTCAACAACAAACACAAGTTGTCAAGGAAGATAATGCTAGTTAATGCAATCAGAATATAACATGACTTCACCTCCAATCAGAAACTATATATAACATGACTTCACCTCCAATCAGAAACTATATATAAGATGACTTCACCTCCATGGCCACAAGCAATTATTTATTTAATTTATTTAGCATGTGAAGTACCAGGGTACTTACAACTGTCAAGAACATTTACAATCCAGTTTTTACCAGTTTATTTAAAGAGATCTTGCCCGGAAGAATGCAGCCCATCATCTTACCTGCTCCATAGTTTGCATCAATTATAACAATATATAAAAATTATCCATAAGCAACATTTACTTATTTTAATCCTAACCATATTTATGTATATTAACAAATAGTGATCTTATCTTTGCAGTAAATTATAAGAGAGGATTATAAAACTCGAAGACGGTTTCTTTTACAGACATGAAATATGATTTTGGAGATGGCCCATTTTGTTTGTATCTCAGCCTATGGATTTTAGATGGCACTTCAACTTTCAACACAGCCTCTAAACATAATGATATAACTGTGGTCATAAATATCCTGGAAGCCATTTCATCAATGGTAATAAGAGTTATAACAAAATTCAATACAACTTATAGGACCAGTAACAAAGATATTCAGATTTTTTTTTTTTTTTTGAAAACTGTTTGATATTCTCATGAAATTGTGTGCAACCATTTTCTCCCATTCTATATTGTAACACAGGCCAGAATGACTAGGAGAAGTTGTCATTGACATTTAACAAAGAAATGAAGCGCTAAACCAATTATTAATATCATACATGCAAATATGTCATGACTTTGGTATACCAGTATCATGTAATTAAAAACATTGCATGGTTGATGTACAAGAATGGATTTCACAGATTTGACAGCAGATGTACTTTGAAACTCTCTCTTTACACTGGTGGTATCTTAAGTTAGCTATTAATCCCTTTGGCACGGCCAGAACAGAAAGGACCACCTTTGAACCTACATTGGGCTATCACAAGTAAAACATGAGCCTGTCCAGTTCCTTCACCTCAGATCCTTCACCATCAGATGCTGGCATTCTAGTGTAATTTGGGACTTTTTTCTCTTCAACTCAAAGAGCCATGAAAATATTTTAAAATATATCTTGAACATAAAATGTGAACAAGACATGTATCCTAATACAATCACCACAACTCATCACAAATAAAAATTCTCTGGAATGTATGGCTGTAATGCTGTGTTCATTAGGCGCGCAAAATACAATGCCCAGAAGTTAGCACTAATTGGGATTTTTTATAAAGTGCCTTACTTGAATCTTGTTTTGTCAAGTAACTTGAGTAGATGGGAAGTACCTGTATGCGCATTTCTGGCGCAATTGTTTTGGCGAGTTATTTCTAGCTCATTAAATTTTTTTTTTAAAACCTGATCCGACTGGTCTGAAACTAGGGACATTGCAATGACGTTCCTGCGTACATGTGTACACTAAGACAACATATGTGTACAGTAAGAGTAAGAGACAACCCTTGATTTTTCCGAGTGTTGCTTCTTTAAAGCTGTGCAGTGCATCGGGTGGGGGTGGTTTACGATCCCCGCATTACAGCATCCACAAGTTAGTTTCCCTCTTGCTTGTAGTATAACAAAAAAAATGCTCACAAAATAAATGCTTTACTTTTTGAGACACCCTATCGAGACGCTTCCGCTTAACAAAATTTAAGTTGGACACACCCCTTGCACTGAATTCATCCCTTATACTGAAGTGTCGAATCTTTCCATTTAAATCCATATCTATATTTGATTTTAAATTATTTTTTGAAAAAATTCACAAGAGATTGATCAGTGCTCTTTGACAGCTGAACCTTTCTTACTTATCTTGTGTTTCAGTCGCAGTGTCATTTTCTTCCATAGCGTCTCGTCTTTACTTTTACGCTGAGAAAATGTCCCATCTTCTCCCATTTCCACCCCGCTGTCGTTCAAATCGGTGCTCGGGATGGCATCGCCGTTACGTGACCGCAGAAACGACTCGTAGGAACTCTGATGGGTGTTGGTGCTGAGGAACGTCTCGCTGTCGTCTGTAAGCTCAGAGAACGATAAGTTGTGCTTGCTGCCAGATTTGTTCTTCGTGGTGCCGAATTTGGAATCGGCGTAGCTGAAACTCCTAACACTGTTAAATCCGGGAGACGTTACTTTGCCACTGTTTCTTTTGTTCTTCGACTGCTGCGACTGCTGTTTGAACAGAGAGTGCTTCTGACTGACTTTTGGTCCGAGGTCAGAATTTGATTTTCTGCCAAGAGTGCTCGAGCCCTTCTGCGATTTCTGATTGGACCGTAGCTCCACCTCATTTTCGTCCACCTCATCATCCGTGAGGTAATGAGACAAGTCCTCCCCACCGTATACCTTGCCTAAAGGTTTGGCTTTGGGCTGTTTCGGCTTCTGGCTTTCCTCGTTGCTATCCGGGTCATCTGTGTCTTCCGAGTTAAAATCAATAGTTCTCTCCTCCTCGTCATAATCTGGTGCAGGAATGTAAACACCCTCCTGGATTTCCCCACCTTGCTCTTCGGGCTCATGACTGCTGCCGTGGGTAAAGATGGGATTTTCCGTGACGACCTCCTGCCCACCTGTGGACATCGTGTCCGACATGGAACTGCTGGCGCGTAAAGCTGGATTGTCGAAACCCTGGATACGCTCATTGGAGTGACTGGATATGAGGGTGGATGTCTCTGATGATATGGAATGTGTCCGCAAGGAATTGCCAATGTCGTTAACCCTATCTTCGCTGCTGTAGTTCATTGAATAAATCTCTCCGTTCTTTCGCTTCTCGATATCTTCATTCTCGTGATTATTTCCATTCTCATCAATATCATCATCATCATCATCATCATGCACCGAACCCAGCACCATAGGCACATTTTTGTCGCCTATAATCCACGGCTGAGGCTTTGTTAGAAGTCTGTTCGTTCGACTCTCTTGGTTCAGTGAATCCAGCGTGGTATCTTTCTGCAGGGCCAGGAAATCCGTTTCCCCTCCCAGAATCTTGGGCTTGTAGCCACCGAATTTCTTCATGATCGGCATCTGGCCATTGCCAGCCTTTTTCTTGGAGAGCTGGATCTGCTGCTTGGTCTCCTGCTCCGTGAACACGAAGGCGTTGTTCTTCCCGAGGGCGGGGTTGCTGAAAATCTCTTGAACCTTCGGAACTTTTGACATTTTTGTGTTTGTGGATTACACTAGGGAAATATTGGACTGAAGTGTGATGTTTTACGAATATTTTAAGTTTTACAGGTTGTATTACATCAAAGAAAGTTGACGCGAGCACTGTGTAGCTATCTGCAGGTTCGAGTGGATCATGTGCAATTTCGTTGACACAATTGGAAGCAACGGTCTAAGATTAGATCGTTGAAACCTGTCTACAGGGGGATGGGTTGGCCAAAAGCGGATGGTGCATGATTGATCTGTGGAAGAAATAAAGCAAGAGATAGTTAGTCAAACAAGAAGATGCCATTCTGCAAGCAAGTGATAATTATCTCAACAAAAGTTTAATACTAGCACTTAACACAACCAATTTGCATATATTTTTATGGTGGGGGGGGGGGTTGGCTTGGAAACTCGTTTTGGGTAGGAAATATGAAAGTGAAAAGTTTTATTAAATTCTGTGATGTGAAGGGCAAGTTTATTTGTGCGCTTACTATATGACAAGCTACACTATGGGTACAACTATACTATATGTACCATTATGATATAGGTACAACTATACTATATGTACAACTATACTATATGTACAACTATACTATACGTACAACTATACTATAGGGGCCGTCCATAAAGTACGCACGCTATTTTTAACCCCCCCCCCCCCCAGCCAGCCCCCCCTTTCTCTTCCCCCGCCCGCTTTTTTTACCCCCCCCCCCCCCCGTCACAAACTGTCAATAATTCAATAATCTCGGTTGGACCCCTTCCCCCCCCCCACCCCCAAGTAAGTCACACTTTCGAACAAATTTTTTATAAAAATTACTAATTAAAATTATGTGACAAACTCTAGTGCTATATTGAATATGTTTATTATGGGCCTGTGAATTATGTTTAATTCAAAAATATTCACTGGACTTCATCCATTCATGGTGAAGTGAAGTGTTCATCCTTAGTTACGAATGGCATCAATCTTTCACCATCATCGTTTCCTGGAAGGATAATTGCAGACAGATCAACTTCATCCTCATCTCACTCAACATCCTCTGAATGTGCATTTTCTCTTCTGCCAATAACTGCCATGAGTTCTCTTTGCCTTCTAGCAGCAATTCTCAAAGGACTGAAGCATTTTATCTGAGTTGATTCTGGAACAGTTTGAGTTGGCACATTCGCCCGAGCTCTGTGTTGTCCTGCATGTTTCTTCGACATTGTTTGTGAGGCAAAGTATAAGTGACATACTTCGCAAATTTGATCAAATAAGCTGGTGTGCAAAGATGGAAAATAAAGGTCTTATGGTTGTACTTTGAAAACTCCTGTTGATCTCGACAAGGCTATAAATAAAACAAGGCTTCGCAAATGCTTACTAGCGCTCCTAGGAAGAGGAATCGTGAACAACACATTCAGGAGGTACGCATATCATGCTATTCTGACATAAAACTAATTCAAATATTTCACAATATTTTTGAAAATTATTTTTAAAACTATTAAATTCTTCTTCTAAAAATATTTTTTTTTTAAAATTAGAAAATTAAAAAAATAAATGTGTGGCGCCACACATGGCCTGACCCCCCCTCCCCCTGTCACAAACTCAGAGGCGTAGCGAGGGGGGGCGCAGGGGGGACAGATGTCCCCGGGCGCAAGCTAGTTAGGGGCGCCAAAATGTGCTTTGATATTATATTATTGGTAAAAATAATGGGTTTGAGAGAGTTAAAACAAAGAAAAGGGGGCGCTTTAAAATGGATCTTGTCCCCGGGCGCGAATCTTGTCCCCGGGCGCCAAACACCTTCGCTACGCCACTGCACAAACTGTCACCCTTTCTTACACCCCCTCCCCCCTCTGGAGCGTGACATATTTTATGGACGGCCCCATATGTACAACTATACTCTATGTACTGATAGAACTAACTAACTAACTTAAGACAATCAGTGGACACAGAGCCGAGGCTCATCGGGTAGTCC